GGGGGGGGGAAGGACCATACAAATAAACGTTAATAAAAACATTTAAGATTTAAAATCCACTTCTTAACTGGTAATAAAACTATAAACCTAAGACTCTCCCAATGTAAGCCAAAACAAACTAGGCTTTAATTAAGCTCTTTTTAAAGAAATATAAAATGCCCTAGTTTTCCAATGAAGACATTACTTAGTGGATATGAGATCCTTCCAAAAACTTCAGGTGCAATGTGCCTGAAATGGAACCATCTGTTATATTTGATTTTCATCTGCGTGGCATTTGAAAAAGAACCGCCAACAAATAGTTATAGAATTAGGATGAAAAGGAATGACCAGAAAACAGCATCGCATCCTACCCACTCACCTAAAGGCCAGATAATGCAGTTTTTTATTTTAAAAAGTAACGTACACCAAGGTGTGTAGATAACACAGCACAGAGCAAGTAAAAAGCCCAGTTTACCGTATTGAAAATGTTTAATAACAGCCCCAAACCTTATATATGTGAAACTCTTAGGAAACCAAGAAGAAGAAAAAATGGAAGAACCTTTAACAAGTTTTCCCTGCACTGTCAACACATTGAGAAAACCAAAATATCTAAATATAAAAATATTTTGTTTGTAGCTATGGAAATTTTTACTAGTATCTGACCTACTATCACCAGGGAAAGCATTTCTTTGCTAAAAGAGGGAACGGAATAGTCAGGGATAAACAATTCTTAACCGCCTTTCCTACTCAAATTGTCTTTTTCTAAATGAAGATAATTTATTAAACTTTTCCTCCACCATCTATTGATTTATTTTCTAGAATTTTTAGTTTTCTATTTTGTACCAGTGTTCTGCCCCAAAATTCATGCTGAAGCTCTAACCCCGATGTGACTACCTGGAGACAGAGTATTCAGGAGGCAGTTAAGGTCATAAGGAAGGGGCCTTAATTTGTGAGACCTGTGGCCTTACAGAGGAAAAGGAACATTCCCCCACTTCTCCCCACACCCTTGAGAAACACAGTGAGGAGGTAGGAAGAGCCTCCACCAGAAACTGGCCCTGCTGGCATCCTGATCTTAGACTTCCCAGGCGCCAGCATTGTGAGAAAATAAATTTGTTCTTTAAGTCACCCAGTCTATGGTATTTGTTATGGCAGCCTGAGCTAGCTAATCCAGCATTCAAAACAAAACAAAAAGTAAGGATTTTTCTGCTGTCCCAGCTTTCTAATGAAATTCTTGTAAAAATTCTCTCGCAATGTGCTTACTCCACGCTTCCCCCAGCACTACTGGGAGCTAAACCAGCTAACCAAAACTCAGCTACTAACCAGCAGCTAAACCAAAACTGCAGCTCACTTGCTTCCAGTAAGAAGGCATATAAAATGGGTGTGACCCACTTACAAGTGGTTAGAAAAAATTTGCAAACCTTTTTCAATCAAGAAAAGAAATTCTGGAATAAATAAAAAACCGGGCTTTGGCTCCAGAAAAGGAATGAGCATATTTAAGAAGAAACATCTATAACCCTCAAGTTCCTGAAAGCAACACGAATCCAACTTCATGACAATTCTCATAGTGGCTTTGGGTGTGTCACCTAAGCCTTCTATTACTCAGTATTGCACTCAATATGTTAGCACAGGACTGCTTATTAATTAGCACTTTCAGGCTTACTGGATTAAAGATGAGTCATTCATGATTACAAGATTTGTGTGTATTAGACTTACTTTTAAATACAGAATGCATTCAATGTACTATCTTGGTAATAAAAAATCTGAGGGTAAAAAACCAACCTCCCTTTCTCTCAAAAGATGGCTTAATATAATCACCACGATTTTATATGTATTTGACAATCCCAGCTTTACCAATTAACAGCTGTTTGTAAAGAGAAATATATTCACTACTTAAAAAAATTATTATCCATTCAAACAAAGCCAAAATAAGCCCTAAAACCAAGATAATCAAGAACAAGTGGCCTTGGAAGTGGCATCAAAGAAATTAGTCTTCACATTTTTCAACTTATCAACAATGAAAAAGGCCCAAACCACTCCCATAATATGAAATTGAATTCTACTTTAGAGGTGTTCAACTCACAAAAATTCACCGAAGTCACTATTAAAATTCCGCAAATTGTAACTACTTTAAAGTGTGCCTATAACTGTACTATTCTTCGCAGCACACAGACAAGTTTTGGGCAGGCCATTTCCATCCACACACTGACAGAGCTGCAAATGTTTGACTATCTCTTGAACTGCCATTTTCCCCCCTGCAGCTATCTTCTCAAATGCTTTTTGGGTCATCACTTAAAGGATACACTCTGTCATTGCAGCAACATCCAGTTTATCAATATCAGGTGAGCCAGGGCAACACTTCTTGAATTCTTTTCGAAGATCAAAAAAGGAATAGAAGCATTCAGGCAGCAATACATTCTGAGGAGGGCAAGGCATACATCGTTAACCAGGTGAATTCGGTCACCGGCGCCCTAACTGCTATGAATCTCAGGATTGAATGTAAACATATTTTACCACAGTTTAAAAAAAAATTCTTTTTTAAATCAAATGTTAGGGTGCTTTTATTTTATTCTAGTATTACAACCAATATACAAGTCTCATGGGAAGAAATTCGTCTTAGTTTAAGGCGATGGGGCTGTAAAGCTTGCGTTCCACTATGCATCCATTCAAAACACTTCTGAAGCTATAATACATGTGGGCTGTTTTGTTTTATATGCTGTGTTTGATAAGACTATATTCTTTTTCTAGCTGTAATCATTTTACATCAGCTGTATTTTCAGGTAGCGAGTCAGCTCTCATACAAACGCATGCATTCACAATGTATGCTTAAACATAGGATTCAGTTATAAAACATAGTAGTTTTAAATACTGGGTTCTAATAATGCATATTTTCTGTACTAAAATCAGATTAAGATAGTGAATTCCTGATTACCTGAAAAGGATTATTTTTGTGCCAAATTACAGTCCCACATTAGTTTTCCTGACCATTTTTCTGGCTATACCCGAGAAGTCAAATTAGACTTAAAAAAAAGAAAAAGACCTCATAAATCTCAAAGGCTAAGTAGCTGTTCTTAGCTACTAGCACCACCCTTATGGTTATTAAACAAAGCAACTGTTGGGGCAAACATTACACTATTGTTTCTGCCCCCACCCCCTGGGAGGGGGGAAACTTCATTGAATAACTTTTGAAGATTTTTTAAAACTGAATTTAGATTTTTCTTAAAATTTCAAAACCTTTCATTGTGTTCACTTATCGGGAATTTCTGCTCATTTGTACATTAGAAAGTCAAGGGAATAAAGACTTTTAAATGTTTGTGACCCATAACATTTATGCAATAATGTCTCTCTAAATTTTCGCTATTGGATTCTGTTAGATGTAACCTGCTCATGCTCTGTTTGAAATAGGTTATCACTGTATCATGATCAGTTTTCAAAATAGTTACCAAAAGAATCATGAATCCTCACAATTTCTTACAAAAATGCTCATTTAAAAGCTATTTATAATAACAATAACTTGCATATTCAGCAATAAAATATTGCTTTAAATAGTTGCATCCATTTAAAACACTGAGTATTTTATTTGGTGCTTACAGAAGATTTCGATGTTAAAGTATAGAGCAGGCTAAAAGGTCTGTGTAGTGTGAACGGTCCTTGTAAAAATGAAGCTTTTCTACAACAATCTCAAAGAATACACCCAAATATGTTCATATTAGAAAAAAATATTTCAAGATATTCTGAGTGGCAGAATTATTTACTTTAATGTTTTACCATTTTCTCTATTTTTCCTTAATGACTAGAGTAACTTTCATCATGATACTAAACTGTTTTAGTTTCTTGTTTTATGATACTAAATAGTTTGTTTTCTTTATCCAAATCCTACTCAAAGTGACTCAGGAAAATGTGTGATTTTCTCTGGAGGTTTTCCCATATCCAAAGCACCCGTCTAAAACAACAAAACCAGCTGTTCTTCCTCAGCCCAGCAGGGAAAGGGCTGAGTTCTATCCCCCTCATATAAGTTTGGGGAGGGGTCCTCATATATGTCTATCTCTGGATCAAGGGTAGAGCATTTGGTCTAGCATTTAATTAACAACAACAAAAAATACTCCCCCCTCTTAATCAAATAATTACTAAGGTTGCTCTACAGGGGGTGATTTTCTCAATCCTCAAGATACAGGAACCGGAGTTTCTCCTTCGAACTTTAAAAATTATCATTATACATTTATTTCTTCCCTTTCCCTAGCTTAGTAAAAAGGTCTGCACTGAGGACTCACTTAGGGCATCAACGGTCAGTCTGAGCCTTTCATCACAAGAACTGCCTCATACCGTTTCCCTAAAGATGTTTTACTTCCATCCTTTCCAGTTACAGCTCAAGCTACTTAAGTGGCTCAGGTGAACTGCATGAGCCAGGATTGGCCACAGTGGGCCTGCTGCTGCCGGGGCCTCCTGCCCCACAGCCCCCGCTTCTACCCTGGAGAGAGGCCCCTTGGTAAGACCCTGGTTTCCCTCTCTCCAAGCTCTCTCCCATTATCAGAAAGACAAGCAAAGGTAAAAGATGGGGCTGGCCCTACTGTTTTGACACAGGATTCAATCCGTTTCGAGCATTTCCTTTAAGTCAGACAAAGCACAGTATGCCATAATCCACATTTGACTAGTTACATGGTAAAGTCTTACTCTCGAAGCACAAGCTTTTAAATGAAATTATTAGAAAAGATACAATTAAAAAGCTTTAATTGAACTTTTTTTCTTTGCCCCTTCCTTTCCAGGATGATAAAGCATGTTCTGTATGGATGGGACTATTACAGTGTATTATAAAGTACAGTTCTCTCCTATGACTAGTTTACCTTAAGTGTTAAAAATTCAGCTAATGTGCTTTGGAAAAGGGAGAATGTCACGCATTCCAAAAACTTAAACAAAACGTTTATTAAGTCACCTAAGGGTTATCTCTAAAATTACTGCAATCTCAGACATCTCTATGCAAGTGTCATGAAGTTTGTATTGTGGTAAAATATACGTAATACAACATTTAACATTTTAACAAGTTACATGTAATTTTTAAAATTGATTTGAGAGAGAGGGAGGAAGGGAAAGGGAGAGAGAGAAACATCTATTTGCTGTCCGCCCATCCATGCATTCCTTCATTGATTCTTGGATATGCCTTGAATGGGGATCCAACCTGTGCACCCCCGGCTTATCTGGACCATGCTCTCAACTGGGCTACCGACCAGGGCCAACACTTTAACAATCTAAGTGTACAGTTCAGTGGCATTAAGTACATTCACTCTGTTGCACAACCATCACCACCATCCCTCTGTCACTTTCCCAAACTGAAATTCTGCACCCATGAAACCACAGCTCCCCACATGCATCTATCTAAAATAGAGAAAACTGGGTAAACCAGCCAGCGCTCTTACCTTCTTGGAAGCCTCGGGGTGCAGGATTTGCCTGACATGAAGCTGCCCATCAGTACAGAGGCAGAAAGAGGTTCCTACCCCAATATTTAGTTCATTGCTCACTGACTGGTTGAACTGAAAAGAACAAGACACAGGATGCAATCGATGCATTTCCAAACCCTGCAAAGCGGCCCCCGCTCGGTGATCACCGGAGAAAACCGAGCTACCTGCTGTGAAAAGGGCCACGGGGGCGCTGGGGGCAACACTGGGAAGACCAGGCTCCCATAAAGCACGTGCTTCCTTTAGACAGGAAGGTTTTCCAGTCCACCCGCAGCTACTAAAGGGAGAATTCGGTCAATGCGCTCCCTACCCCCTTCTATTTCTGCGAAAAATCCAAGACTTTTAAATCAGAGATCTCGTTTCGTCAGCAGATTGCCTTCAGATTACATCATTCCCCGGTGTCACTTTTTTTTACGGTTGGATGTTCTAGGCTTAGGAAAGCTGCCCGTTGGGCAATGTGGGCGATGGGTCTACGGACCTCTGGAAGTCTGGGAACGCGTTTCCTCAAACGCCTCAACAGGACGCCTTGCTTTCCCCTGTAATTGGCAACTCGTGCGCTAGGCGGGGGCCGTCGGAGCATCCCACACGCACCTGGGCGCAGGTGTTTCAGCCCCGCTCCCCCCCCAGGTCAGGGCCCCGCAGCAGCGGGTGGTTAGGTCACCTCAGTTCCAACCTGGAGATTCCTGCACTTTCCCGGGGACCGACGGGCAGCCCTGCGTGTCCGGGCCTGCAAAGCCTCCCGGGGCCACTAAAGGAATCGTGGAACCGGGACCGAGCCTCTCCTTTTGGGGGTTCCAGAGCCCTGAGGCCCAGCGCCCCGGGTCCACACCCCGGCGCCCCCACCCCGGGCTGAGCCGCGACCCAGCCCCTGCGGGGGGCCGGGCGTCAGGGCTGGGCCTGGAGAGGGGGCGCCTCCGGCCCAGG